ATGAAATCCAAATGCAGTCTCTGTATTCCAATCCAAATACGACAGTTTATTGTGACCAGGTATAAGAACATTTTGGTCTTCAGTAATATATGCAGAAGGTGGTAAGTCTAACCTATGTAGAGTCAACCAATCCAATCAAATATAAAATATTCATCTTTTAGGAATTCTGCATAAATCAAATTATTCTTTCCATCCTTCATTATTTGCTAAATACTTATTATATGAAAGCTGCAGGCCTAGGTACCATTGGAAATACAAAGATGAATAAAAATAGTCCTTTAGTTCAAAAAGCATATAGTCTGATACAGGAGACAGATCAGATACATAAGTAACTATAACATTAGACAAAAAGTGACTATAATACCAGGTAGAAAGTAAAACACGCTCTAAGAAAGACCACATGGGACAAAGGGAACTGGAAGGAAGGAGATACTTTTCCAAGTAGGTAAATGAAAGAAGACTTCATACAGGGATTGGCAATAGTTTTGGATCTTGAGGGACTGGAGAAAGACCAGAGGCTGCTCCAGACAAGAATACAGAGCAGCAGAGCAGCATGGAAGTGAATACTCGTAAGGAACATGGAGAAGCTCAGTAGAAGCACCATACAGAGTGGAAGAAACGACTGCTATTATATTAATAGAAAGGCAACTAGTGTCAGATTATAGACAGCCTGCACTGTATGCCAAGAAATGTAGAGTAAATAGAAAAGATTAATTCAGAAAGACCTAGGGGACACATAAGCAATTCATCACACATTGCACAAATATATTGATTATGCAAATATGCTACTCATTAACATTACTTAGGTATAAAGGGGTAAATACAGGGTAGCTTAATTCAGGGATAAAGGTATGATCTGTCTTTTAATGATTGAGGGTATTAAGTGGATTTTAGATGGTACCATAAAACTCTGAATAAAGTGTAACTAAAACTAGATTCTGTGTGCATGATAATGACACAATCATCCTTGTCATACAATAGAAGGTAAAAGAGAAATTGTAAGTTAAAACTGAGAAAGAGGTAAATTTGAGAACGAGGAGGTCCTGAAATACAGATAAATTTATTTTATAACATTATGGTTTTAAAATTATTGCCTAGGTTTACCGAAAAATAACAATTATCCAGCTAATATGCCAATAACAACTGAGCAATCCAGTGAAACAGTGGAAATAAAAGCTTCATCACTTGGCCAGCAGATGGCACTTGTCACTCGGTATAGAAAACAGCAGGTAATGTGGAATGAAGCTGAAAGTAGTTAGAAACAGATTACTCATTCATCTATTCAGAAGGATTAAGATGGGGATGGGTTGTATTCAGAAGTACAATTTATAATGAGGATCTTGGTTTGTTGACATAGCTTACCAATTACATGGAGGACAACCCCTTTATAAAATGCACCGCAGGAGACGGATCTTGAATTTGAGCTCTCCTATTAGGTTTACTGAACTTAGGTATTTCCCTTAACAAATATGATTTGCAATATATAAGTTTGTTGCTACTGTAAATGTTCTTATGTCCTTTTTGTCTGTATTTTTCCTACGAGACTGTGAGAAAAATGGTGCTGGAATTAGGCAAAAAGGAAATAAATTCCAACTTCACCATTTAAAGCTATTTGACTTGATTAAAATTATTTAACTTTTTTGGATTTCACTTTCCTCTTTGTTAAAATAGGTATCACTAGCTGGAGTGTTGTAGGAATTAAATAAGATACCATGTGGAAATGATACCTTTAGATCTAGCTACTTCATTTTCTCCTACGGGACAACATCTAATGATTAGGATAACTCTCTTACCATCTAATCATTAGATACCCATAGAACCTAAAATACAGGAAGATCTTTGATTTATCTAGTCAACCCTTCATTGTCCAGATCAAAATGCCTGCTACCATTAAAGCTGAAATGCAAGAGAGTTAAGAGATAGGGTGTGCAGGTTTAGGTCATTTTTATATTCACTATCCAGGTCTGGTCAATGGGTAAGTGGTCATTGGGAGTGGGAGGGAGGAAGAGAAGGGCAAATAATAACTACATGGCATATATTGTATGATTTTGTGATACTGAATGGGCGAATGGACACCAACAATAGACATACAGTGAATCACAGTAATGAATTAGCCAGTTCTTGATTTTCCAGTGATGTCTAGCCTACACCCGAAACTGAATGGGGCCAATGATGCCCTGTTTTTCTAGCTTTCCCATCCTTTCTTATATCACATTCCAAAATTTCTTCTAAAGGGTTTTAGAAAGAGGACAGGAAATTTACATTGAACACTGCATGATTTTTAGTCTTATTTTTGGCATCAGATAAATATCACCAAAACATAGTTTTTTAACATGTTCATGGATTATTTTGTGAAAGGAGGAATCAAGGTCATCTTCCAGAGGTCTTTTGTTCAGTAATTACCATGTTATAACTATATGGGAGTTGCATCATTATAACAAGACATGCCATTTTTAAAAGAGAGATACCACACAAATACTGAGTTTAATTTTTAAAATGTGTAAGCTTAGCATGTAATCTAAGTGACTGGTTCCATGAAAGAACAAATCAGTGCTCATCTCCAAGTGTTCCTTTAGGTTGTTTTTCTCACCTGAAATGCCCTATCCTTTTCCCTCTATTTATCCTAAATACACTTCAAGATACAAGTGTCACTTCCACTATATAACTTTCTTTGATTTTTTTTTTCTTTTTTTTTTTTTTGACACAGAGTCTCGTTCTTTCCCCCAGGCTGGAGTGCAGTGGCGTGGGCTCACTGCAACTTCTGCTCCCAGATACTCCCACCTCAGCCTCTGAAGTAGCTGGGATTACAAGGCGTGAGCCACCACACCCAGCTAATTTTTTTGTATTTTTTGTAGAGATGATGTTTCACCATGTTGGCCAGGCTGGTCTCAAATTCCTGACCTCAAGTGATCTGCCCACCTCAGCCTCCCAAAATGCTGGGATTACAAGTGTGAGCCACCGCGCCCAACCCCCCATATAACTTTCTGTGATTGAAGCTGCCCTCGCAGTAAACTTCTATTGCAGTGTCAATTACAATAAGAAAACACATTTGAATTAATATTACTTTATAGTGGTTGCTCATTTTTAAATAGCTGTTAGACTTGGTCCACAAAAAGACTGTATAATATCTGAGGGCATGTTTTACTTACTGATTCAACTACCTATTGAGTATATGCCAGGCACTGTTTTGGTGAATACAGATTCACAGTAAGTAAAACCAAGACTATTCCTGCTCTCATGGAACTCACATTTTGGTATTACAGATACTCTGTATTCCCCGTAATTCCCAGCCTGGGGCAGACCTGAGGGCAAGTATGTGCTCAATGATCACCTCAAAATTAACTGGTTGCCTTTGGTTGAGTGAACCTCAACCCAAAGCTTTCCTTGGTTACCACAAAAGCAAGGTCAGTTATAGGCCCCGAGTACTAGAAAGTATGTAAAAGATGTTAGGAATCTTTTCACAAAAGGATTTTGTAAAATTTTCCTTTTGCAAAAGGGAAAAGGAGGGTGGAGAGGGTTATGTCCTTTGAAGTACTGGCAGTGAATTTCTATATAAGTACTGCTAAATGTCTTTGTTTACATTTGAAACAAACTGAATCTATAACCTTGGCTTAAATCTTATAAAAAAAATCAACTACCAAGAAAAAAGAATACAGAACTGTTGGCCCAAATCTGCTATTCCATCAGCTGCCATCGAATTCTCTACCTCAGTGATGAATACAACATCCAATCTTAAACAAACAACGAGCTAATTAAGTCTTGGTGATTGGCATTATTAGTATACAGGGGTTGGCTATGACCGCTATAGAAAAGAAAAACAATGTCCAGAGATGGCAATAAACATGCAATCAATTCTTAATGTGCTGAATGCCTTCACAAAGCTACAAAGTGTGGTAAATAAGAAACGAAATTAAAATATTTCATAACAAAAAGATCCGAATGTACCTAATTATTTATTAAAAGTCTGTGAAACCTTTATTTCTGACTTTTGTTATCAAACCCATGACTAGAGGTCTTAAAAACTGTAGAAAGTTGAGCCACTTTTTGGAGGTGGGGAGTGCTTAGGAGAATGTGTTTCCAAAGTGACTCTCAGTATCTTTCCAAGAGAGACCCTAAGACTACAGGGTAAAAAAGAAGGCTCTGGCTTCTTTGGTTGTACTCTCAGGTGGTCTCTGACCTGCACTGCAGAACCCTAACAAGCCAAGTGAGGTAAAAGAGTAATCTATGAGCCCAGGAAAACACTTACTATAAGCTGCTATGGCTGGGGAGCTTAACTCCCACTTCATCACTGAATTTTCTATTTTAATAAGCATTTTATTTCCTGACATCTACTGAAGTGTCCACACATTTGGACATATGCTGCAAGTGCTGTTTGAGGAAGCCGACAGGCTACACAATTAAAAAATAATGAATTCAAGTGCTAAATCTATAGAAATTTAATTATTAGTCAAGAAAATAAAAATAATTTTTCTACATGCCACATTTTCTTACACTCGAAATTGTCATGGTTACCTATGTTGATTGATAGTAATGTTTAATTTATTGAATTTTCTTAACAATTAAATATGACTTTGACTTTCTAAATTAATAGGTTAATGTTTTTTAAAGGAACTCTTTACCGTAAAATCCTCCCTCAGGGAGGAATGAAATAAAAACAGCCTGACCTTTGGAGTTACACAAACTTGTGTTGCGCCTTGACCACATGACCTTGGACATGCTGGCTGACTCTATAAGGCTCTATGAGCAGCTGTGGAATAGAAACAAATGTCCCTATTTCTCACATGCATTGTTGTGTAGATGGGCTTAGATATCACATATACAGTATTTTTTTTTTTTTTTACAAAACTCACCCTTTAGAACATGTCTTAGAAAAGACATCAAAAAGGACAGAAAAAAGAGTATACACATTTTATTGTGTAAACCACTTTAGTCAATTTGCACCTATGAAACCAACGGTTCAAGAGTCACGGGAGAACTGGCAGGAATTAATTACAACTCACCTGTGGCTGCTGTTCTGCCAGTCTATTTTGATACTTTAGGACCGACTCTCTAAGTTGCTTCTCTTTCTCATTTTTTGATGGTGATATTGTGCTCATGGTGCCCAGCGGGATGGAAGGTAGACGTTCTACCTGATGACAACTTCAGAATCAACAAGTACAAGATTAACATCAGGAGAAATATAAAACTACTTACTGTCTGTAAAAGATGATTTACTTCTACAAGCAGTTACTCTTTATGTCATATATCCAAAATTCAAATACAAAGGAAAAGCATTGTATTGGTGGCTTTCGATAACAACCTTAAATCTCCAATTTGCATGGAAAACAGCCTAATAAAAAATGTGGACAACAGCATATATTTACGAGGATGGGAAAGCGTCAATTATATTGCTAATGCTTCACTTATTCTACATTATCATAAAATGAGGCCTTTTGCAAAAATTATTTGAGATCGCTGAGCTTATCTCATCATTGCCATTTCCCCCCCCAAAAAATGGTAGTGAAATATATATCTCTTTAAAATATAGCAAATAATTATGCCTCTGAAACATGGATGACACAGGATCACTGGATCACCAGTGACTACATGATGTAATGTAGGATTCAGCAACAGCCTCGGGAGGTAATGAGATGCGTTAGAGCCCCTTCCCCAAATCGCCCACTGGTCCTGACAGCAGCATCCTGCCCAAGTGCTTGCTGCCATAAGAGTATCTGCTTTCCAGCCTTACAGATATGCTGTTCTAATAACTTGTGGGTTAGTAAGTATATAATAATGTAGAATGATTTGTAAATGAACAATACACAGGCTATGGATCAGCATATCCCTTGTTTTAATTACAAAAAAACACGAATAACCCTCAAAGCTTATGGTTTGGAAGGTTTGAGGCCATTTTTCCTTCTCTTACTTCTGCGTTTGTGGCTATGTACTGGGGAACTGAGTCAGCCAAACTGCTGAAAAAGTAAGATATTATTTTGTTCACTTGGGTATCAAGGCTTAATACAGACAAGAAGTTCAGCTCCCACTGGGCATCGCTTTGATTCAGGGCATGGCGGGGAACATGCAGTAGTGTCGTCAGACGCTGAGGTCAGTTCTGCGAGCCTGCTCTGGGTCAAGGAGTTTTCTATTATTGATTGGGGGTGGGGAGGGGAGAAGTTACACTGAACCACCAAAAAAAGGAGGAAGGGACAAAGTCACAGAAAATGCATGGGTGTTAGGCTAGGCAAGGGACGAGGAGGCAGAGGATCAAGAGAGGACTTTCTCCCATCTGAAACAGTGAGGGAAAAGGGAGGCAGATGAGACCCACCATTTCTCTGTTTTTCAGGGCTGCAGCATATATTTTTCTCGCCCCACACCAGCAGAGAAGAGTTAGGAACTACAATCAAATTCAGGTACTACTGTGAAAAAACACTTAATTCCACCCACACATGGTGTTTGTTATTATCGTTATTTTCAAAGAAAGGTGCTAGATAAACAAACCCTAGGGACAACTTCTATATATACAGCAACCCACAGTGTTGATTTGAAGACAACTGTGGGGTGGCATCTATATAGCCTTCTACTTCATTTCAGAAAAGAACCTGTGACAACATTAAGTTTTTATTCAGAAGGAAGAAACCTCAAGCATTTTATTAGAATGCAATTCATTCAATTGTCTTCATTTAAAGATGTTTGGACATGAATTACACTTTAATATGCAATACAATCCATAGATATTTTTTCACATCCTTTTCAAAATTCAGACATTTTTGGTTCAGCCAAGTAATAGGCATCATTTTTACTCTGTTGGTAATCCCTATTTTCAGTGCAGATAAGTGCATAGTATGAATGTAATGGAAGCATAGTGATTGCTATTTCTCAGATACTGTGTCAAAAACGTACAGCCTCCCTCTGCGCTTGAAGTGGAAAACAAAACCAGGCTCCAATGGTTCGAAAAAGGAATGGCTCCACCTTACCCTGTCCAGGTTACTGAATACTACCATTTGTAAGATGCATTTTGTCCACTAAAAAGTATCTGAATGAAACCAGGCTTCCTGAAATGGAAAAGGATGCCTTCCAACGGACAATGTGGTAAGGCAGGAAGGATACAGGTTTTGCATCAGAAACTTAGCTTCCAATTTCAGCTGCAGTGAAGAATTCTGGGCAAGTTACTAATCCTTTCTTAGCCTCTCTATTTTCTTCTCTGAGAAATGGGGAAAGTTCATAGGCCTTTTATAAAAATGGAATGAGATAGCATATAAATTGCAAAGTAAGAGAAAGTTATTACCATGTTTCCAGCCCAAGTTCTAGTTACACATTGTTCATTCAAATGCTGTCTGTTGGCAATGGCTTTGCTGACAATTGGCAATTAACTACTGACAAGAAACCATATTTTCTGTAAATACAGACAATGACACTTTTCACCCCATTACTCTGTCCCTCTACTCATAGACTACTCCCTAATAAATAACTATACTTATCATCACTTTATTACACTTATTTTAAGTGATTCTATCCAAATCCAGTGGCACGTATGTCAGGGGTCTTGCCTAGCAATAATGTATTTTGAAGCATATTCTCATATTCTCAAGGTATGCATGGCCCATCCTACCATTTTGAATCAAAGGACTGAGCAAGGTCATCAGATTAATTTCTTCCCCCTCCCTGGGAATCATCATATCTACATCACCGTTAATGAGCTCCCATGAAGGAAGTGCCAAATCTCAATTAACTGCCCTTTTAATCAATTTTTCTTTACATCTCCCTTAAATCTCTTGCTACCACTTTAAGCATATTTTTGTCACAATATTTTCCATGAAAATAAAACACAGATGGTTAATATCATGTCAGTATATTTAAAGAAACAAGGACTTAAGAAAATTATAAATATAGGAAAACTTTTTTGCATGATAGGCTTTTAAGGTCCATCAGTTTTCTGTCAACATGGCTAAATTTATCTAGCCACTCATCACAAGTAGCACTGTTCTTATGTGAAAAAGAGACAGAATTAAATGAATACGATCTTGTATTTGATAGCACAAGGTGACTACAATCAACAATAGCTTATTATACATTTTATGATAACTAAAAGTACTATTTGAAATGTTCTAACACAAAGAAATGATAAATGCTTGAGGTGATGAATACCTCCATTTACCCTGATGTGATTATTACATACTATATGCCTTATCAAAATATCTCATATCCTCATAAATCTATATGCCTATCATGTACTCATACAAATTAAAAATTAAATTTTTAAAGAGAGACAGAATTAATACAGCTTTGAAACTAATTTTACAATGCTCTGAGATGGTACTGTTACTTTTCAGAAGGGGGTGAGTCTGTGCCAATGCAGGGACAACAGTAAGTTGAAGGTAAGGGAAACTGCAGAGGACAGCTTCCCAGTTCTGTGGGTCTGACAGTGCCCAAGACTGGTCTAAGAAGTCCTAGGGATAGGGTTACATCTGTGGGGAGTAGCCTAAATTCGGGGATCAAGGGCCTCCAGTGACCAGGGACTTTCCGCAGATTGTCGTAACAATGGGACTTAGCTGGATCCAGAGAAGATGCATAAAGATCCTATTATTATACCACATTCCAGTGTATGGGAAGCTGAGTTAAAGGGGGGTTACATAATTTCTGAGATTTCACAGCTAATAGAACCAGGAGTCAAACCCAGGCAGTCTGTCTTCAGAGTCTGAACTCTAAATACAATCCTAGACTATATGAAAGTTCTTAGTTCATGGTAAGTTCACATGATTAACTATTCTTAATATTGAAACTGAGCAAACACTTTGTTCCTATTTGGGAGATACTTAAGTCCCAAGTTGGGGATGAACACAGGTTAGGAAACAGAAGATCTTGGCCAGTGGCTTCATACATAGGTTTCTTAGCCTGGATTTGGGTTTTAATTCTGTTTTCCAAAATAAAGAATAGATCAGTGTTTTATAATCATAGTCCCTGGAGCTCTAGGCTTTCTGCAGAGTAGGGAACAGAAATAAAAAATTGGACACCGTTGGTTCCCAGCCTCCAACTCAATCAGGATAGTTTTGCATTTATCTACTTTATTTTTGGGTTCTGTGACAAATTTTTATTTGGGAAAAACAAGGTTGCATTGCAAAACAAGAAAGGGATACAAAAAAACCTGGACCCTGATTTGAAATCTAAAAGCCTTTTCCACCTCTGACATTTTTCTTCAGTCTCTAAATAAAAACAACCTGGGGACTCTAGGTGAAAGGGGTTTTAGCAGCAGTTTCCAAATGTTTTCTTTTTCTTTTATCTTTTTGCTCTTCTTTTTCAGAGCCAGATAAAAAATAACCAAACAGGAGTTATTACCCTAATGTCTATATTAAAAATATTGACTCACATATCCAGCTCAAAGGACTTAGAATAGACTGCATGGAAAAGCAATGCTTGACTTAGGGGTGCCTTTGTTAAAGGGGAATACTAACCATTTTCCCTATGGGGAAAATACTAGTCTAAAAGGGCTTGTAATAACGTTGACACCCTTCAATATTTAATCAGTCTTTTTCCTGTTTTAGTTTGAACTTTTTCCTCAAGAGTGTAAAGCAATGAAATCAATATATGATTTAAGCAGAAAAAGCATATGGTCTAACAGTTTAATGCCCTTGGAGACACTCTCTGAGTAACTAACATTCCTGTACAATAAGGACATATGTTGTATGAAAATGAACTGGAAGGAAGAACTCTTAAGTACCAGGTTGTGGTCTCCCACGGGTGGAAGTGCAGAGCTGCACACCCCAACATCTTCAGATAGTTACAACGAGATCTCTTTTATTTGATGGAAAAGCATACCAATGAAATATTCTTTGCACAAGTAGCAGGGCGTTAGAGTTTGAAGAGATACCAGGTACTAAGCTAAAATCTATATTATAAGTTAACATTTTCAAGGTTCATACATATGAACTTTAGAAATTAAAAATGAATAAAGAATTTTAGAAAATAATCAAAAACTACCTGTTTTCCAAGCGGTTGGGATTATTAGCACAAATCCAAATGTCAAAAAATTCTTTTTCCTGATAATCAGTAGAGGAAGGCAAGACTCTCCATTTAAGACAAAGATCTGACAATCAAAACAAAATGACATAGAAAAGAGATCAGAAATGAATCTATCATAGTAAGCTGTCAGTTTGCACATACCAGAAGTATGAGGTATCTCTCAATCCAAAGACAAGTGAATCCTTCATCATATACCATTATCCTTGATGGCACATCTATTCTAGGGTTCTATGAGCTACTTCAGGACCCCACCAACAAGTTATTATATTATTGTCTCAGTTCCGTCCAGTTAGTTTCTGCTACTTTCAGCCAAAAGAACCTTAAATAATACATCTACTTCACCTCTTCTAAAATCAAACTAAGAATTTCAGTGATTTGACTCTCCCATTTTCTCTGACCTACTACCCATCTGCTGACAACACCACTTTCTGTCTCCAACTACATGATTAACATAAGAAGGAACCATGGTCTCAACGAATATAAAATTAAATTGAAAGAAGGAAGGAAGGAAGGAAGGAAGGAAGGAAGGAAGGAAGGAAGGAAGGAAGGAAGGAAGGAAGGCAGGCAGGAAGGAAGGAAGGATCAAGTTTTCTGAGCCATATACACATTTTCTTCTGTACTTTCTTCTGTTCTTATTCCCCTCTCCAGTCTATAGTTTCTGATTTCTTCACCCACTTTCCAAAACAGTCCTTCCTTGCCTTTAGGATGAAGGCACACTTGTCTCTCCAGGCTACACTTAGGTTTAATCCTGAATTCCCTCCAGACACACTGCTAACGGCTCATAGGTTAACACTTGTCTCTTTCATCTAAGGCAGAGACAGTCAGTATACACAAAGGTTAAGAACTTGAACAGCTCCACCTCTTACCACCTCTATGATCTTGGACAAATTATTTAACTTCTTATATTTCAGTATCATTATCTATTAAAAGATTAATATTATATTGTTCTTATCTAAAAGTTACTGAGAATGAAATGACATCCTCCTCCTCATCATCATCATAAAAACCAACACTGCTAGACACTATCCTTAGCACTTAGTAAACTTTATTTATTCACATTATTCTTAAAACTCTATAATGTAGCTACAAATACTAATCTCATTTCATAAAAGAAGAAACTGAGACTTAAAGAAGTTAAACAATTTGCCCAATTTTGTACAGCTCTTGGGTACTGAAGATTGGATTCTAACAGTACCTGGTACAAATCAAAATCACAGTAATTGTTATCCATTATTATTAGCATGTGACAGGCTGTCACATACTGTCATCAATTTCCTCAATTATACCTTTTAAGTATCTGTCATGTATGATTCTTTTAACTCTCACTGCCACACCTTCATTCAGACATTTATAATTCGTCACCTGGATCCTAGATTACATTAGTCTCCTGTTCTAGCCCTTCACCAAGTCATCCTTCATTGAGCTGCCAGAACAACTTTAACTACACGTTACCTCTGACCAGTCAGGTCTTCCTTGGAATACTCCCAGGCAAAAGGCGGGGGAGGTGCTCCCGGAGAGCTGTATAATACTTCTATAGAGTTTTACACACTATAGGCTGCTTTTTTGTTTGCTCATCTGTTTTTCTCTACTGAGCTGTTAGTTACAGATTAATATTAGAGACTGTCTTTAATTCCCTATCCCTTTGTGTAGTAGCTAGAAAACATATCAATAAGTGCCGAATGTAATTACCCTCCTATGGAAAAAATTCCAATACCTCCTGCTTGCTTATGAAAGTAAAACCTTATCCTGACATTCAAGAATCTCTAACATCTTTACCCAACCTAATACTTTTGTCTTATTATTTATTCATTGTTCAGTAATTCAGTTGTCAGTTATTAAATTCCTACTAGGTATTAAACAGTGTTACATATTAAAAATAGAAAGATGGCTCTTTCTATTACTCTTTCACAAACATCTTAGCTGAAGTGTACACCTGATATTAACTCACCTTTCACTACTCTTCATCTCTGCCAGTCAAAATTCTATTTTAATTAATTAATTTATTATTTTTTTGAGACAGGGTCTCACTCTGTTGCCCAGGGTGGAGTGCAGAGGTACAATCACAGTTCACCACAGCCTCAGCCTCCTAGGCTCAAGCGATCTTCCCACCTCAGCTTCCCAAGTAGCTGGGAACACAGGTGTGCACCACCGTGCCTGGCTAATTTTTGTATTTTTTGTAGAGGTGGGGTTTTGCCATGTTGCATAGGCTGGTCTCGAACTCCTGAGCTCAAGCAATCTATCCACCTCAGCCTCCCACGGTGCTGGGATTTAGGCATGAGCCACCATGCCTGGCCTGAAACTACTTCAAAGACTATCACAAATGTGACTCCACCATAGAATCTTGCCTCTACTCCCCAATCCTTTGCTTTGAACCCTCAAAAAACTATTTGTCTCTATTATATCATTTACCTTATTTTTCCCTGTATTACAATTATTTTCACACTTACAACTTTCTTCTAGACTGTAACCTCCTGGAAAGCAAGATGTCTTACTAACCTTTGTCTCCCTCCTCCCTCAATGACTTGCATCCCACAATGACTTGCATATTTAAGAACTCTTAATATTCGGTAATTAGAACGGAATTCAACACTCACCACATTGTATGATGAATGGGATACCCATGGCTTGTCTTCTTTGATATTGAATAGAATTTAAAGGTTTCTCCATGTCGATGTCATTCTGGTATCCAAATTCATTGCAAAACAATGTTAGATTTCTATTATCTTAAAAAAAAAAAAAAGCAGGCAAAGAATAATGAAAAAATCATTAAAATCAAAACGATTGGCAAAGGGAAGTTTGTATATACAATATGATCTCAACTGTGTAAATATTAATACGTATACAGAAATAAGAGATTAAAAAATCAATATTGGTTGTCTCTGGATAGTGATGAGTGCAAACTATTTTCTGCTTTAGTCTTTTTGCATTTTCCAAATTATATGCAGTAAATCTGCAATGTCTTTATAATAAAACTAAGAACAATAGCATGTATTTTAAAAGTTACGTGTTTATGCAATGAAACATACTGACATTTAAAGCATTGTTCTTAAGCATTCCCAGGAAAGACTGTACTGATTACACTTTAAAGGGCACTCTTAAAATTATTGATATAAATATTTATCTTTCTTATCTCACAGCCAGAGGTGGGGTTTTTTTTTATCTTTATTTTATCTCTGGTTCCTTTTCTCTCCAGTCTTTATTGTTTATGCACTATCCTATTTCCAAATTGTGTATTTCCTCCTTGCTTGGAAACACTACTTACCATGGAGGACTGTTAGAGTCGTTTGTTCTTATTCTTTGATCCAGCAAATAGACTGTTAGGAATTATCCCTACACACATACATAAGTTGCCATGTATATTATAGCATTGCTCGACTAGTAAAAAGTTGGAGATAATGTAAAAGCATATGAATAAAGAACTGACAAATTCTGTTCCCCAAAAATGGAACAGTGGGCAACCTTTAAAAAGGAAGTAGAGCTAAACGTAGTGTTGCATTAAGATCTCTAAGTTATAGTTTTAATTTAAAAAAAAATATATATATATATCAAAGAGTATCCGTAGTGTAATTTTATGTAATGTATGAAAAGCCTGTCCATATAAAATTGCAATGTACATTTTCCTGAACGGATGCAAAAGAAAGTTTTAATAGTGGATATCTTTAGAGCAGAAAGAGAGGTAGAGAGGAAGGCAAGGGAAAATACTTCTACTTTTCACTTTTTATTTTTCTCAACACTTTGAATATCTTTACATGTGCCTATAGTTAAAATTGAAAGGAAAAAAAGAGAATCCATGTTTGACTGTTTTGTCCAATATGATAACCACTAACCATGGCACCAGCCTTACAACAACCTTAACACATGGCTATGTAATCCATGAAAAAGGTAAATAAATGATCTAACACCTTATTATTCAAATTAAAATTTTCGCTCAGGGTGCTATGGGCCTTAGAGATCAGCAGAGAAAGAACTCAGCTTTCAAAAGGGTCTTCACAGTTGCGCTGGTCTAAGTACACCTCACAAATTCCCAGGTCTGCCCTCTTGACCTTTCACAAAATCCCCAGCTGCTCTTGCTCCAAATTTTCCTTCAGATTTGGCTTTTGGGGCTTTTAATTCAGACTTTCAATTTCTTTTCTTGGCCCAGTATTTGGTTTTTTTGGAGAATCAAGCAGTTCCATCTTAAATACTAATCTGCCACGTTGACATGTGATTAACCCCTGTTCTGGAAATGCCTCTAAAATTTCTACTTTATTTACTGTTACTGTAAATCCTGCCCTTAGGTCAAAACAACCCTTAACCATAAAACCTGCCATTAGGTAGATTCACATCACATTCTTACAATTCACTGAGGGGTTGACTTCAATTGTCCTACACATTCTTTCCCTATGGTTTTTAAGTCCTGGGTCTGGGGGTAAATGGCACAGGGATCCACCATTCTTCTCTCACCACAGCCTAAGACATAGCTTTTGTTCTTAAGACCCTATTAAATGTTCCTTTCTAAGAAACTGGATTTGTCAGCCTCTTTCTTTGGCCTCTCAGCTTCCTCAATCTTTGAGGGTAGCTTCACATAGACTTGTCAACAGTGGAACTGTCTTGGTTCATCTCAAACTCTTCTTCTCTGTACACCAGATCCTGATGTACTACTCCTTGGTATCTAGAAACATTGATGAGGTTTTGCTTCTCTGATTTCTTTCTGTGTGTGTTTTTTTTAATTATTATACTTTAAGTTCTAGGGTACATGTGCACAATGTGCAGGTTTGTTACATAGGTATACATGTGCCTTGTTGGTTTGCTGCACCCATCAACTCATCATTTACATTAGGTATTTCTCCTAATGCTATCTCTCTCCCAGCCCCCCACCCCCTGACAGGCCCTGGTGTGTGATGTTCCCCACCCTGTGTCCAAGTGTTCTCATTGTTCAATTCCCACCTATGAGTGAGAACATGTGGTGTTTGGTTTTCTGTCCTTGCGATAGTTTGCTCAGAATGATGGTTTCCAGCTTCATCCATGTCCCTGCAAAGGATATGAATTTATCCTTTGTTATGGCAGCATCGTATTCCATGGTGTATATGTGCCACATTTTCTTTATCCAGTCTATCACTGATGGACATTTTGGTTGGTCCCAAGTCTTTGCTATTGTGAATAATTCCTCAGTAAACATACGTGTGCATGTGTCTTTCTTTATAGTAGCATGATTTATAATCCTTTGGGTATATACCCAGTAATGGGATTGCTGGGTCAAATGGTAGTTCTAGCCCTAGGTCCTTGAGGAATTGCCACACTGTCTTCCACAATGGTTGAACTAATTTACGCTCCCACCAACAGTGTAAAAGTATCCCTATTTCTCCACATCCTCTCCAGCATCTGTTGTTTCATGATTTTTTAATAATCACCATTCTAACTGGTGTGAGATGGTATCTCATTGTGGTTTTGATTTGCATTTCTCTGATGATCAGTGATGATGAGCATTTTTTCATGTGTCTTTTGGCTGCATAAACATCTTCTTTTGAGAAGTGTCTGTTCATATCCTTTGCCCACTTTTTGATGGGGTTGATTTTTTTTCTTGTAAATTTGTTTAAGTTCTTTGTAGATTCTGGGTATTAGTCCTTTGCCAGATGGGTAGATTGCAAACGTTTTCTCCCATTCTGTAGGTTGCCTGTTCACTCTGATGGTAGCTTTTTTTGCTATGCAGAAGCTCTTCAGTTTAACTAGATCCCATTTGTCTATTTTGGCTTTTGTTGCCATTGCTTTTGGTGTTTTAATCATGAAGTCTTTGTCCATGCCTATGTCCTGAATGGTAATGCCTAAGTTTTCTTCTAGGGTTTTTATGGTTTTAGGTCTTACATTTAAGTCTTTAATCCAGCTTGAGTTAATTTTTTTATAGGATGTAAGGAAGGGATCCAGTTTCGGCTTTCTTCAGATGGCTAGCCAGTTTTCCCAGCACCATTTATTAAATAGGGAATCCTTTCCCCATTTCTTGTTTTTGTCAGGTTTGTCAAAGATCAGATGGTTGCAGATGTGTGGTGTTATTTCTGAGGCCTCTGTTCTGTTCCATTGGTCTATACATCTGTTTTGGTACCAGTACCATGCTGTTTTGGTTACTGTAGCCTTGTAGTATAGTTTGAAGTCAGGTAGTGTGATGCCTCCAGCTTTGTTCTTTTTGCTTAGGATTGTCTTGGCTATATGGGCTCTTTTTTGATTAAGACAGGATCTCACTCTTTCACCCAGCCTGGAGTTCAGTGGTGCGATCTTGGCTCACTGCAACCTCTGCCTCCTGGATTCAAGCAATTCTCGTGCCTCAGCCTCCTGAGTAGCTGAGTAACTGGGTGGTGCGCACCACAGTGCCTGGCTAATTTTTGTAGTTTTAGTAGAGATGGGGTTTCACCGTGTTGGCCAGGTTGGTCTTTAACTCCTGAACTGAAATGATCCACCTGCCTCAGCCTCCCAAAGTGCTAGGATTACAGGCATGAGCCAACGTGACCCATTTGCTTCTCTGATTTCTACATTAACTATTTCGTCTTTACTATATCAAAGTAGAGGGTGCTGTAGATTAAAAGAAACATGGATTCGAGTGCTGGCTCTGTTATATATTAGTTGTATAGTTGTGGGCAAGCCACTAAGCTTTCTTATCTATCAAGTGAGTGACTGCAATAACCTGTCTTGCAAATTTATCACAAAGAATAAATGTGAAGGCACACTAAAAACTATAAAACCTGGAAGATTCTGAGAAGATGATAGAGTAGGAAGCATCAGAAGTCTGTTTCACCACCTAGAAAAAAACGGCACCGGCAGAATCTCGTGTAACTATTTGGGAACTCTGGAGTCTACTGAAGGCTTGCAACTTTCAGGGGAAGGTATGGATATTAAATTGCAGTTAATTTCAGTCATTTCAGCTCTCAGCCAGTAGTAGCTATCCAACCTACACTCCATGTTCCTGGAAGATCTTTCACACAGCTTGATGAAATTAGGGTGGGGAGAAAAAAAGACCCTGTCCTCCATATAACGGGGACTCCTGCTCTGATCACTGATTGCTGGCTATGATCACAGAAGTGTAGATGAAGAGGTGAAGGCCATTTTTGATATGCCTCTCCCTCATGGTTGCAAGCCCCTCCCCTTCTAGCTGGAGTGACTTCCAGGGGATTTAAGGGGTTGGTGTCTTTTTTTTCCTCCTTTCATTTGTCTCCTTTCACCTTATGGAAACCAGATATTGAAGACTAGTGCATCCAAAAGCTGCTACATGTATAGAGGAAATTAGGAAGTCACTGCACATGTCCCAGCAAAGCCACGGGCTCAGAAAAATCCAAGAAAACCTTAAGTGTATAGCTCGGGCTGATCTGCCCAGAGAGAGCCTACAACAATTTAAACAAACAAACAAAATAAAAAACAGTAAGTCGTAGAGAAGGAAGAGACTCTGATTTCCAGAAGTACAACACTGTTAGATTCAAATGTCCAGTTTTCAACATAAGAAAAATCACAAGTCATACAAAGAAAAAGGAAAGTATGGCACATTCCAAGCAAAAGAATGAATCAACAGAAATTGTCCCTGGAAAAAACCTGATGACAGATCTAACAGACAAAGATTTTTAAATGACTGTCTCAAAGATACTCAAAGAACTGAAAAAAAGAAAGAAAGAGAGAGAGAGAGAGAGAGAGAGAGAGAGAGAAAGAAACAAAGAGAAAGAAAGAAAGAAAAAGAAAAAAGAAGGCCAGGCACAGTTGCTCATGC